CACCCACCGCTCCTTCTCCCTTCTGTCATCCCACCCAAGAATCTCCCTAAACTGGCGCATCCACTCCGTGTCTCCAAGGAATTCCGTGCTGAGCGGACGAGGCGAGCGGTATCGATGAGTTCTTGCGTGAAGAGGTTTACGACTTTGAAGAAACTCGTTGTAGGTGTCTCGGTTGCCTAACGCGCGTTTGACGCGGTCGAAGAAGTGGGTGTCGTGTAGTGGGAGGAGGGAAGGAGGGGGAGCTGTGTGGGCTTGAAGAGGTCAGTGGGGTATTTGGATTCGGGAGCAGAGAGGTACCTTGGAAGGAGCTTTGGGTGCTAAAGAGACGGGGTCTCGTTCGCGCTTGTTGACTTTGCGTTTGCGATTTTGAGGGACGATGGGTCCGATGGGTGGTTAGGGTCCTGGACGACGGCGGAGAGGCTTGCCATCGAGAGGCGTGTTTGAGCGGGTGTAGCGTCCTGTGGGGGAGAGATAGCTTTCTTCTACTTCGTCGAAAACATCCTGGCTCTTCTCGGGCATGAGAATCCTAAAATATGGGCGCAAATAGGGGTCGTCTTTGAAAAGGCGGGGGATCTCAGCTGATACTTCACGCTGTGAATATCATGTGTTATTGTATCATAAAAGAAGGCAAGAGGCTCACCTCGTCAACGCCATCAGTGGTGTTATATGATTTCTAGGAATCTGCGGTAGGTTGCTTCGTCGCAGCGTTGTTCTAGACGGACTGAAAGGCTGGTTCTATAGAGGAGCTGTCGAGACCGAGATTCATGCCGTACATATTTGGATCAGGCTCAGGACCAAAGACGGTGGTAGAGGCAACGGATGGAGTAGAAGGCCAAGGGTCGTCACGGGTAAACTGAAGCATTGTGCCTGTAGGTGTGGTGATGGTGATAAAAGCAGACCGTTGGGGGTCAGAGGAGCACTCGATGCGATAGCCGACAGGAAGGAAGGTGTTGAAGCCCTGAATAAGGAAGGGGTGTGAGACGCGTTTGATGACGCCTGGGGTATCTGTGCTAGATGGATGAATGATTATGAGATAGTGCATTTATTGCAATTTACAAATATAATGAAACTCACCTAAAAGAAAAAAGTTTCAAACGAGTGTGGCTGAGTAGTACTCTAAGTAGTACCCGACGCGCGTTACACAACAACATTCAACTGAGTATATGCGCGACTATGAGTCAACTCGGGTCCGACGATGATACTCGCGACGACGCTAGAGTCCATGGCAATGGTTTCAATGAAAATGGTATGTTTTTATCGCAGTACTGAACAGTGAACACCAGGGACCTTATGTTGTCATTATAGAACCTTTGGAGAGCGCATATAACAATGGCAAGGGTATCGCAGTCTCCGTGACATTTACCCCACTTCTACCACCTCCAGCAACTGGAGAAAAACGCCGCAAGAATGCTAAATCACCACCCATAAACCGTGCCTTCTTCATCCACGAAGATTCAACCCTCCGCGACCTTCTCGATACAACATTCGAACACTATGACGTCTCCGAGAAAATGATGTACGGTATTGGGAATCGATCAGGTCTTCTCTCGGCTACCAACTTCACGATCACGTACACAATCCTTCGCACGAACTATAAGAATATTGTTCTCGCAAACCTCAGTGATTTCGACACAATCATGGAGGAAGTCAAAGAACACCGGTCACCAGCCTTCAAATTGACTATCATCGAGACCAAGGTATGTATTTTGGGTGTTTGTATGTGATTTGCAGTAAGCTAAATACATGGTAGTATGATGATGGCGAAGAAGCTGAAGAAGATGAAGAAGCTGAAGCCGAACCTGCGGGTAAGAGGGTGAGATATATGTGTTTCGATTGTCTTCTTGTCACTCATGTTGCGAAGGCTGCAACAGGTCCAACTGACGAGGAGATAGAGCAAAACGAGGCAATTGCAAATCTGACTCGTCAGTATACCTGCGAAGACCGAGCATGTGGTTTCCGTATCTGCTGGCCAGCTCCACCAGACGCCAAACACGTCAACCTGACACCATTACATCTCAACACGTGGGCTGCTGCGATGGTCTGCGTGATGTTCTGAAGTATGTAATCTGCATGTGTCACTAACAGGGTTATTACACAATAGGTTGGTCCGAACAAGCAGCCAGGTGTCGACTTAGACAATCCGCCAAACACGAAGATTTTCGATGTTACATACGCAGACCCGACTGATATTGCTACTCTCTCACGTCGACGTCTCAATACAGTTACCCAAACCCAATCCTCCGCACCAAGTATTGTCATCAACAATGACTTCAAGGATATTGTGGGCCTCCTGCATGGCAAACGTGGACCCGATCACGCTGCCAACATCCCACAGCCTGCTGCTCTTCGTCCGAAGTTGAGTTTGATTGATTTTTGTGAACGCTTCAACCTATCGCTATGGCTACGTGAGAAGTTGGACAACATTGACGTGACAGGCCCACACTGTCTTCGGTTCCTTCAGAATGCTGACTTGCTTGGTGCTGGACTGTCTCTTGGTGAGCTTGCAGATATTCGCGATGCCGAGGAACGGTGGATGCTTGATGCTTAGTTTGTATGGCTCCGAGCTTTCAAAGTGTATTTTTCGGCTGCAGTATTCACAGACACCCATTCATAATATTATGCTACTGTATTGTAACAATGCTATGGTCAAGCAAGATAACCCGAGTGACGAAAGAAGCCCCAAGTCATCTCGGGTGTTATGACAGAACATGCAGTGTACAGCTCATAGTAAGGAGCCTTAGGCCCATAGAACCCTAACCCTTGGCGACGGAGATGTGACTTGATTGTGGAGAATGCTTGCTCAATAGGATTGAGATCCGGGGAATATGGTGGTAAGTATTCAATGCGGCACCCTGACAAAATAGTGAGACAACTCCGTATCACAAGCTTTATTATACTGACCATAAGCATGAACAAGCTCTTCGATTTCCTCCGCATGGTGAATACGAGCATTGTCCATAACCAACACACTCCGTGGCCCTGGAAATGGAGTCATGATAGGAAGCTAATAATAACAGGTTACTGATACATCACAACGACACTGACAGTTTGAAAACGAACCACATCATTTTGCAAAAAATCGATGAAAGTCTTGCGATTGAATGATCCTTCAACAACTTTTGCAGCAATGATGCCCTCATTGAGAGCCAATCCTGCTACCATTGAAAACCGACATTTCCGAACAAATGGTTGATGCTGCTCAGCACGTGCACCTCGCGGAGCATGTCCCCAGCGACGCGAGTATGTACGGTCATCTTTTGAAACTTCATCCAAACAGAGTAATGAAGCTGGCGAGTATTGCGAGACACGACGAACGAAGTCTGCACGACATAGAGAGTCACGTTCAGCTGCAATCTTCTCAATGTGCTTGAGATTGATGCCAGCACGCTCAAAAGATCGGTGAATGGTGGATAGTGATGTCTGTAGAAACCGGCCATCCTGAAGTCTCAGCTGGTATTCATCGAGGAATAGGGTGGGGTTATGGCGAGCAAGCCGAATGAGGAACTGGATATCATGCTGGGTGAAAGTACGAGGCCTGCCCCTGCCAATTGCCTGAATTTTGGCTACACTGCCAGTGGCTCGTTTACGACGTTGTGTGCGGTAGATGGTTGACTTTGAGATCTGTGTGATGGAGAGGATTTCTTTGGTTGCATATCCTTTGTTCGCCATTCGCAATGCAGCATCTTTGAGGTCGTCGCTGATCCGTCTATTGCCCATCGTGGAGAAGAGTAATGTGTGACTCACGAGATGCTGGCTGAGGCTGTACGCTGCTGTATGCCACACGCAACAGGTGACCAATTCCGAAAATATATATTTTTACACATTCGAAGAGTGTCATTGTTTATGAAAATCGCAATAAGATGAAAATGGGAACGTACAAACCGCTCTTAAAGTCCTTCACCATATCGAGGAAGTGATTATAGACATCTGGTTGACCATGGAACTGGACTTTGACGGCATCGAGGTAGCTCGATGGATCTGTGACGTTGATGGGGCACTCTAGTAAGGGCTTAGAAGGGACTTGGACTGAGCCGATTGGAAACCAAGACGTGAGCCAGTAGGAGGGAGTAAACCGTGAGAAGTGGATGGCTGATAATGTTCAATGCGTGGAGATTGAAGACAGAAGGGTTGTTGAGGCGGCATACTAACGTCTCGAGTAGTTTCTGGGTTGGCGTCAGGTTTGTCCGTCATTGGAACGTCTTCGTTTGCAGTCAGTAAGGGTTAAACTTAGAGTACTTCATCACCCGCGCCTCGAATATGCCTCCTGGGTCTTTAAGCGCTGATGGCCCTTCTCATCGACACTTACATCAAGGATCCACCCAGCGCGAACATCTTTTTGACACCAATACTGGCAGCTTTCCGTCTTCTTTTCTCGCTCTCGTCCACCAGCCGAGGCTTTGCTGCCAATGCTGGCGGCTTCGGTGTGTTTTTTTTGCCCTTGGACTCTACTTGATTGGCGCTTATAGAACCCTTCATAAGCAGCCTTGTCTGCAATATAAATTGATCATCACTCCGAGACCTACTCACTTCCCATCACTCCGAAACCTACTCACTTCTCATCACTCCGTCTCGTCCACCGGCCAGGCCTTAAAAAGATTCGAGGCTTTGCTGCCAATGCTGGCGACTCTCAGTGCGTTTCACTCCGAGACCTACTCACTTCTCATCGCTCCATCTCGTCTACCAGCCGGGCCTTAAAAAGATTCGTTTATAGAACCCTTCATCAGCAGCCTTGTCTGCAATATAAATTGATTATCGAATCATGTCAGATCTAATAGTGCAGTACTAATTTTCCTACAATACAAGAATGTGTATGCGAAGGAGTGATTATGTGTGCGTCTCGTTTGTGTGTGTGTGGCGTCTGTGCGTGTGTGAGTTTTGCATGTGAAGAATAGTTGAACAGATCCAGCGCCATACTCCTCGGGCTGAGTCCTCACGTGCACTCGGCAAGACTTGTTGCGCATGTAATGATTAAGCCAATGCTTCAAAACTTGAAGCGCGCATCCAGCATGCGCAAACACGCGATTATAGTATATACGATGTTCGCATCCCAGAGCTATTACACTCGCATTGCAATTGCGCCTGTCATCCATTCGATCCTCGACCATCCTCCCGTTGTTTGGAGGGACGATGTCTGCAAATACTACTACTCTCCGCATTTCCAGTAAGAATCTCCTACTCATTAAGTATCTCGCCATGATGTATACATCGTGCTTCCTGCCAGATATTGTCATCCGCCTCGATGATGCTTCGCACAAGAAGCTCGAATTTGCCGAATTGAAGCTTGATTCACAGCGACCGGAAATCCACCGTGTCTCAGACGAAGATAGAGACCTTACTGCAAAGTTCGATCCCGCTATGTAAGTCCACCTATACTACTGGTTGCTAGAAACTTGGTCAGAACATTGTACCACAGCGCGATGACCACTGAGCGCGCTTCCTTGTCGGTACACTTCCGACACCATAGCATGGGCATGCTTCAGCGGAAGACTACCGTGGAATTTCCATTGGACAAAAAAGATATACTGTCCAATCCAGTGGATAAAGATGGTAAACGAGGTGAACTTATTAGTCTCAAGCCATGTCGCATCAAGTTGATAGCCCGATGTGACAGAGTATCGGACGACTAAGCGCAAGATCACTGTCGTCGTTACAATATCGTCGGTGTATTTATAGTTTTCTTGGCTCAAAAGCAAGCTGATCATCCTTGTCCATATCGGCCGTTACGATATCAGACAGCTGCAGTCGACTAGCAGTGATATTCTAGAAATTTGTCCAAGATTCCGACTACTAGTAATAGGCAAGGTCTGTCTGTTCATTATCTTCAAGCATAGATGTCTCATGCACTCCCTTTGTAGACTGGGGTCGGAAAATCATCACTGATCCAACAGGCATTTAAAATAAATGAAGTCGTTGAGTAGATTTGAACCACCGCATGACGACAGATGCTGATGCTCGCCTGTTCTTTACAGCAGGTTTCTGAACATACGTGGGGAAAAGCAGATATCAACACGGAATTCGTCGCGCCAGAAAATGGGCGATTTGTCCTCCATGATAGTGAGGGATTCGAAGTTGGCGACAGCAGGAGTTTTGCGGATGCAAAAGAGTTCATTGGCTGCCGACGCGAAATGCCCGAACTGAAGGACAAGATACATGCGGCCTGGTACGGTGTTCTAGCTGCCACCGCCACTCTGCCATGCTGACACTGTTTGAAGGCTCTGCCTCTCGATACCTCATGCCGATGGACGGCTGCTCGAGAGCGGAGTAAAGGAGTTTCTAGAATCGAGGAAGGAAATATTGGGAAATAGTGCGCATTGTTCACGTCTCATCACTCGTAACTCATGTTCCAAACTGTAGTTCCGATCATTGTCGTCTTCACCAAGCATGACGTTCTCGTCGACAAAGTGGACTTTGAAGCCGAGGAATCAGGAGAATATCATGAAAACGCACTCGAAAAGCTCAAAAGAGATGCTTTGAATAATCTGTGTGTAAAGCCACTCACGGATGTAGCTGGAAGCGACGTCCTGCACACAACGGTTTCCAGTATGGAACATTCACTTCTCTGATCTCCGCCTCTGAAGTACCTTGACAGCAAAGAATGGGTACGAGAGCACCGTACGAGAGCTGATTGATCTCACAACCACGAACGTCGAACAATTCGTGGACTCAGAAGCGGCATTAGCCATGATGATAGCTCAGCGGGTAGATATTGACCTTAAAGTCAAGGCGTCAATCGCGTATGCTCAACCACTATCGTGTTTGTAAACCACTAATTTCACACTTTGCTCTTCACAGCATTGGCAAGAAAAGTTAGTCTTGTTGCAGTCTTCGACGCCTTTTTAATTTGTGAATTTTTAGGATATTGGAGAGGCCTCGCTTCGAGCATGAACTTCACGGGTTTCACCATGTGGGACTGTTTGTCTTTGATTCACAAGGACATCATTGCTGTGTGGAACTTCAATGACCCTCGCTGTGTGAGGCACATCTTGTATCGGTTCATATCTCAGGCTGCTGACATGTTTCCGCAAAGCACTTGGCTGATGACAAGTTCAAAGAACTGCTTCCAAAGGATCTGGAGAAGGACAACCTTCCGAATACAGCAGGAACTTTGTGAGTTGTTATACTCTGTGATGCTATCAGTTTATGGAGGCATTGGCAGTAAATTCGGCCTCTCCGTGGTCGGGGCAATAATCGGCATTTTGACACCGCTGGCAGCCCCGTTACTACCGATCGTCGTGCCAATTGCTGCAGGGGTGGTCGTGGCAAAGTGGGCCTATGATACTTACCAACGAACGTAAGTGAATGTGTGCTTTCGCTGTTTGAAACGTGCCCGGAATAACTAATAAACTGATCTAGAGACATCGTCTTGCGACGGATCATGACGTACATCGTGGATTTGACATGTATCATGCAGATCTTGTTCTTGCTAGCGCCAACAGGGTCCATCTCTCGTCCTGTCGCCAAAATCGCTAACAAAGCCTATGAGGTGGCTTGCAAAAGCGATGTCCACTCGAAGATTCAATCCTGGCATATGCCTGTAACTCCTAGTCGAAGAGACGAAGCGCTTGAGAAGATTGTTGCACTGATCGAGGTTCATTCCATCAAGGCTGATGAAGTTCAGGACCTGAGGACGAAGATTGGGCCACACGCGGCGGGGTTGCAACTAGACGAAGAGTGGTAGATGATGCCTGAGCCTTCCTCGGTATGTAGCTACTAGCTTGATACATTGCACATATCCTTCGGACCTTCGCAACATATATGCACGTGATGTTATCTGGAGCTATTTATATTCTCTGACTTAGGTTCTTCAGCATGATCGGTGTGGTGGCTACAACAGCTTTATCAGCATCATCTCTGTATAGGTCAGGCCTGGCGAGCCAATCAGGTTGCAGTCAAGTTCAAAGGTGGTCTGAAGATTGTCACTGCAACTGTTGTCCGGCAGAATTTACAGGGTACATCTATGTAGTGCCCCAATGGACAATAGTTGGAATTCAAAAGAAAAGATGAGATTCTGAACTTCGGGTGGGCAGCTGCCAGTGAGGCATCAGCACCTCACGACATCAGCAAAATCAACAATGGCTTAAACTATCTTTTTTGAAGTTTTCTCATAATATAAGCCAGAAAAAGAGCCCAATTCTCAAAAGACGTTTCAAGGCCACTCGTTTTCTTAAATTGACTTGTGCTGACTTTTCATGTGTTGCACAAGACGAAAAAACTCGCACAAAGGCAAAAGCATCTGAAATTGGAATGTCCTGAAAATTGTCGAAAAAGTGACTGCAAGAGATTCACAAGACAGTATAAGAGGTAATCAAGCCAGACAAAAGGTGCATAAATGTCAAGGAAAGTCATTAAAAGCTGTTGTAAAAGGAGAAAAATGCGGTGTAAGAGGTAGCAAACCATGGCATAAAAAGGACACAAGAAGCTGGATGATACGAGGGGGAATATGCACTGCAATTTGGTTGTTAAATCTGAAAGAAAAACACAGAAATCAGTAAGATGACGAAAATTTAAACAAATATTGAGCGCAAATTACCAGACATCTTCATGGTCATCCACTTCATCATTTGAGTCGATGCTAGCATATTTCTCGGCACCAGGCTTCTTCAGGTGCTTTTATGCCATAGATACTGTCAGTTGCATTGCCTCCAGGCCCTTCTTTTGTGCTGTGCAAATAAATGCAGCAGTTTTTGAGCCCCACTTGACGACTGAGAATGCATGCTCAGTTGGTGTCTCCTTGCCAGCGACCTTGTTGAGTGTCTTCGGTGTCCTGAAATGGGCTTTTCATGATGTGGTTGGGACATTGGTGTCTTCCAAATGGTCAATGCTAATGATACTATCTTCAATAAGATTAAATGCACATTCGAGCTTGAAAAAACTGTCAGCACATTGAAACAGGCACAGGAAATGATTGCACTGAGAAAGCACATAGTCCCAGAGCTCCAGTGATGCTGCTCTGAGCTAGATGATCAGTATCGAGAGCAGGAACATCAGCATGTCCAAGAATGTGAGATAAATGAGCAGTAGTGAGAAGCTCCTGAACAAAGGTGGAGCAGAAGGTTTATTTTTTGTCGATTTCATCAGGGTTAGGATACAGGAATGCATAATGGTGAAGGAAGAGGGCTGTAAGCTCCTTTGCCAGTGTATCTTTCTTTGAGGTGCAGAAATCAATCACAATTTCAAGCACAGTAGACCCAAAGTTGCTGCACCATTCACTGACACGTTGGGTGACCTATAATACAGAATTATTTGAGTATTACCCAATAAAATGAAACATAGACTTACAACACCAAAAACTGAACCAGATGTCACAACCTGGTATTTGATGTCTGGATAGACAACCTTGAATATTTCACGGCAAGCATGAAGAAGGTTTGCATCAGAGATTGCCTGTCATATACCGGATCTGAGTACCCCCAGTACCTCCTATGAGCATCCCCACTGCTGGCCCGACCCCCTGTTTCCCTGTCCGCTTCATTCCTCCTTCCCCGACAATGCATGAAGTGCATCTCAGCAGGATTAGCCCTGCTACCTCTGCCCGACTCCATTCTGCTCTTCCGACATTACCCCTATGTCCTCCGACCCCATACCCCTTCCATCCGACCCTATCTGGGGTTCCGCTCCTCCGCCCTATTGGTCCGCCCGATCCTATTCCCACTCCCTCCGCTTTTCCGACCCACTCGGTTCCGCTCGTGTTGTCCCACCCGACTATTAGTCCATCCAACCGCCTCACCGGTCCACTCCTAGACTAGGAACCACTCAACTGGTCCTATCCCCGTTTAGTATCATAGTTCCGCTTTTCGGGTTCCTGGTAATCCCTATACCCTAGCGAGTTCTGATCTGTCGCGTACATACTTTCCTCCGAGCCTTTTCTCGTATGTCTCAGTCATCCTATTGTAATCCTGTACACTCAGCACATAGCCTTCTGCTATGCTATGCTCATCACTTAGAGTATATAAACCTATGTACACTTGTCTGTAGATACTCAGTCTGAATATTACCTTTTCTAAGCCCTGCTCTTCTGTCCTTTTGACTTAAAGTCTTTCCCAAGTCAAACTCCTGTTTCCCGGCCTAGGGGATTGACTCCCTAGGTCGGCTGTCCTCCGACCCTCTGCTTCCCCGCTTCCCCGTTCCTCCATTCCGCTGGTTCTGCTATTCCGTGGGTTCCGCTATTCTGTGGGTTCCGCTATTCTGTGGGTTCCGCTGTTCCTCTGTCCCCCTGTTCCTCCACTCATCTGACTCCCCATGCATTGGCCGCACTTTCCCACGCGTCGGATCTGATCCCTGCACTCCCTCACATCCGCCCCCTCTGTTCCGCTCTGCTTCGGACTTTGTCCGAGCAGTTCCTCCCGCTCCGTTCCTACTGTGGGTTCTGACCCCAGTAATCCCCCACCCGACTTTCCCGCGCTCACCTAGTAGTCTGATGATCCTCCTTCAGAGGATCCCCGCTCCGACATCCTGTTGGAACTCATAGAACTCGTGTTGGACTACATCCTGAAATTAGGGGCACGTACTCGGGTAAGGGGCGCAGCGTACGAGCTGAAGCCAAGCCCCCCAGACTCCGCTTTACCCCTGAGCACGGTCTTAACATTGCCCAAATGTCTTCCTGTGCACCTAGCCAGAGAAAAAATGGTTGGTAAAAAGACACGGGCCCACTTGCTGTCTTCATGGCAACCAGGAGAGAGGTCAGTGTTCAGATAAGTTGAGCGTGCCTTCAACATGGACTCTACCCAACTACTGTCCTGCTTTACTACTTTTGATGGTGAGAGTTCCTTCGCAGTTTTGACCTTTTTTGAAGGAGGGACTGTCGTACATTCTAACCTTCACTATATTTGTCCTAGCTCATTTTACATAAGCTCTTACAATTTTCCTTTGCACTCATAGCAGAACTTCCTCAGTGACTTCTATTAAGTCTACTGAGGTCAGTACAGATTATCCATATTACTTACATCTAGCTAATAGTTCCTGCAGCGAGTGTACTCGCTGCAGGTATATACATTCAATATAGTGACTTCCATTAAGTCTACTGAGCTTGTGTACTCACTGCAGGTTATGAGCCCTGTGCTTGTTAATTAAAACTAAACTACAGTACACGATAGCAAGCCTGCCATGTCCAGCTCAAGCACCAAACTCAGAGAAGATTTTCTTCGCATCCCAAAACTCACAGCGGACGGAGAAAACTGGATGACCTATAAGGATAGGTTGTTGTGGTCCATAGATGCTTGTGGGTTCCTCAGTCACCTAGATGGGACTGAGAAGAAACCAGTAGATCCCTCAATGTTGTTGGGAAGAGGAGCATTGTGGACACCAACCACATCAGATGAGATCAGGGAGCTTGCAGTGTACAGGACTGCTATGAAGGAATGGTGCATGGGCAAGGCAATAATGAAGCAGCAAATTGCTGGCACGATCCCTGATTCCCTGTTCATACAAGTCAAGAACTTGGCGACAGCAGGAGAGATCTTTACATACCTATCCAACCTCTTTGAGAAGCATTCTCAAGTTATGTCTGTTGAGCTATTGCGGAAGCTGCAGGACCAGAAGTGTCCTGAGAAGGGCAACATCTGAGAGCACTTTGACAAAATGCAAGTGATCAAAGAGCAACTGTCCTTGCTCAGCCATGCCCTGACAGATGAGAGCTTCACGGCTATAATCATGAGCTCATTGCCAGCATCCTACGATCCTCATCTATCAGCACTGACAGCATCTGCAAAAGTCATGAGTGTCCTACTCACTGCGGATGTTCTGATATCGACCATCGTAGACGAGTACAACCATTGTGCTTCAAAGATGAAGAGGACTGGTTCTGTCATATCCCACATTTCTGGACCCAGAACTCCAGATCCTCACTTGGTCATCCGGACTTCTGTCCAGATTTCCATCTGGCTCCCCTGCTTCATCTCCAGGTATGAACCTAACCTTACACCTATCTCCTTTTAGACCTCCTCTTCTCTGGCTACTGGTCATACTCCTTTCTGCCTTGCTTACTGATCCATTTCTCTGTATTCATTTCCGACTCCATTTCTTTGATCTGTTATTGATTACTAATAGGCTTTCCACATGCTTCATACATAGCCCTGTACAGTGCTGACTGATTACTTACTTGATACCTACAATATATAAACTCCTGTAACACTCCGTACCTCCTCAGTTTGAATATCATCTTAGTTCCTGCTCATTCCTGTTTCTCCGGACTTGAGTCTTTGGGTTTATTCCTTAGACTATATCTCTAGCTCTACCTTGGGGTAGTCTACCTCTGTTCCGTTTCTACTCCGGACTTTTCTGTAGTAGCCTTACTCTAGTTCCTCCTGAATCTCTGGAGTCCCACTGGACTCCCCCTGCATCTGACCTCTGGACTTACCCAGACTTCCATCAGACTGCCCTCCTACCTCTCAGAAATGAAGGGTACATACTTGGGTAAGGGGCACAGCGCATGAGCTGAAGCCAAGCCCTTTGAGTTCTCCTCCCCTTGAGCATGACCTTAACAGGTTTGTTGAATGACAATGCAGCATATAACACTAATGCAGGCAAATGGACTTGGTGGATCAAAGGGAATTGCCATAACTGTGGCAAGTACGGCCACATGCAACGAGACTGTTGAGGCGCAGGTGGAGGTGGTACTGGAGGCAAGGGAGGCGAGAAGTCTGATGGCAAAGGAAAGGACAAGAAGTCTGAGACCGTGGCTAGTGCCAAGGACAAAGACATTGACAAGGTGTCATATACCGGATCCGAGCACCTCCAACACCACCTGTAAACATCCCCACCCCTGTTCCAACCCCCTGTTTCCCCATCCGCTCCATACCTCCTTCCCCGACAATGCATGAAGTGCATCTCAGCAGGATTAGCCCTGCTACCTCCGCCCAACCCCGTTCCGCTTTTCCGACACTACCCCTATGTCCCCCGACACCATACCCCTTCCATCCGACCCTATCTGGGGTTCCGCTCCTCCGCCCGATCCTATTCCTACTCCCTCCACTTTTCCAACCCGCTCAGATCCTTCGGTTCCACTCATATTGACCCACCCAACCATTAGTCCGTCCGACTGCCTCACCGGTCCACTCCTAGACTAGGAACCACTCAACTGGTCCTATCCCCATTTAGTATTATAGTTCCGCTTTTCGGATCACCGGTAATCCCTATACCCTAGCGATTCTGATCCGTTGCATACATACTGTTCCCCGAGCCTTATTCTCATATGTCTCAGTCATCCTATTGTAATCCTGTACACTCAGCACATAGCCTTCTGCTATGCTATGCTCATCCCTTAGAGTATATAAACCTATGTACATTTGTCTGTAGATACTCAGTCTGAATATTACCTTTTCTAAGCCCTGCTCTTCTGCTCTTTGACTTAAAGCTTTTCCCAAGTCAAACTCCTGTTTGCCGGCCTAGGGGATTGACTCCCTAGGTCGGCTGTCCTCCAATCCTCCGCTCCTCCGCTTCCCCGCTTCCCTGCTTCCCCGCTCCTCCGTCCCTCTGTCCCTCTGTCCCTCTGTCCCACAGTTCCACAGTTCCACAGTTCCGCTGTTCCGCTGTTCCGCTGTTCCGCTGTTCCGCTGTTCCGCTGTTCCGCTGTTCCGCTGTTCCGCTGTTCTGCTGTTCCTCCGTCCCCCTGTTCCCCCCATTCCTCCGTTCCTCCGCTCATCCGACTCCCTGTGCATCGGCCGCACTTTCCCGCGCATCGGATCCGATCCCTGCACTCCCTCACATCCGTCCCCTCCATTCCGCTCTGCTTTGGACTTCGTCTGAGTAGTTCCGATCTGCTTCTACTGTGGGTTCTGACCCCAGTAGCCCTCAACCTCTCTCCTGTCAGGTGGAACAACCCCCGCCCAACTTTCCCGCGCTCACCTAGTAGTCTGTTGGTCCTCCTTCAGAGGACCCCCATTCCAACGTCCTGTCGGAACTCATAGAACTCGCATCGGACTACATCCCGAAATTAGGGGCACGTACTCGGGTAAGGGGCACAGCATACAAGCTGAAGCCAAGCCCCTCAGACTCTGCTTTACCCCTGAGCATGGTCTTAACACAAGGAGCCTGAAGGTGTTTGGTTAATGGATGATACAGATGAGGTGGGAGAAGAACAAACATCGTTCACATATGCAACACTAGCCAGCTCTAACTCCCAGCATGAATCTCAAACCAAGTTGTTCGACTCCGGTGCATCGAGGCACATGTCATCCTACCACGATCTGTTCCAAGACTTCGTCAACATTCCACCAAAGCCCATCACAACTGCCGACAAACACACCTTTGAGGCCACTGGCAAAGGGAACATCCTCATCACCCTACTGAACAGCAAGTCGAGCACTCGAGTTCTCCTCAAAGATGTCCCTTATGCACCCAAGATGGGTGTAACACTTGTCTCCATTGGCTGTCTCACAGCAGCTGGTTATGCAGCGCTATTTCATGCAGACTTGTGCAAGATTTTCAATGACAGGAAGAAGCTGCTGGGGGAGATACCAGTGAACAAGGGCCTATACTGCATCAAGGGCCCTAGGAAGCCATTCACAGTGAGCTAGGACAATAGCAGTGTGCTCAGATCTGTGTGATTGGATGGATGTTCTACTGAAGTGAGTCCTGTGTGTGTGTATGTGCTGTCTGACTAAGCTATGGAGACCTCCGAGAGCTTAAGTCTCTGGACTACTGTCTTGGGACCCCTGGTCCATACACCCCCCTAAAAAAATGACTGGCGCCGGCCTTGACGCCACTCTCAACTATCTTCTCCTCTGCCTTCTCTATCTCTCTCTATCTTCTTCGTCGCTTTCTTCGTCATCGTCTTCTGTGTGTTCTTCAACTTGTCTTGTTTCTTCTTCATCTGCGCTTCCTTTGTCTCTGGTGTTTTCTTCATTCTCCTTGTTAATTCCATCCTCTCTCAACTTCTTTTTGTGCACTTCTTGATTCTTTGCTAATTCCATGCCTTGTCGTGGTGTGAACACTCTTAATCTCCTGGCGCTGAAGTCTCCTGGAAGCTGACTTCCTTCGAGATTTTCTAATGTGTATGAATTTAGTGCTCTTGCTCGCACTCTTTGCAGAATGGACCATTTTGGTATGAGTTTTCGCTCCGTTTTGAATGTACAGTTGATATGCTCATAATGCATATGGTTGGGATTGTTGAGGGTTTATGCATTATGAGAAATATGCAAGACCAGATATGTCACACTATTGTGACGTGTGTGACCTCCGCCAAAATTGTGACGTGAAGTTATCTATAGTATCTACAAAAAGTACATGTATTATACCAAGAAGAATTGTTTAAAAGAGGTTTGTCTAGCATTAAGTAGTTCTTCTCGTCGTAGATTAGCACAAAAGATGCAAAGTTGTGATGATAAATTGAGTGAAAATTGAGGATCACCATATTGCATGCATGCCACTTCGAGCCGCTGGCACAGACTGAGGAGATCTGTGTGTGTGATTGATGGATCTGCTGCATCATTGCCATCATCAGAATTGACGTTAATAATTTCACCATTTGCGACGGCATTCTCACGATGGACCTCATCTGCAATGGATTTGTCACCACCTTCGAATGCAGGCAATTCCCCCATATCTCTCTCCTCGGTGGGGTCCAGAAGTATGAGCAGAAGTTCTAGGAGTGTCCTTGGTGATTTTCTGCTGCTTCGTAGGTTGGTCGGAAGCTGCAGCAGGCTTCTTGCAGGGTTTGCACTTCAAGTTTATGAACATCTTTGTGTATGGTACCATTGCAATCACTCATTAGCTTCTATACATGGTTGAAAGAAACAATGTTGCCTGAAGCAGAACAATAGATCTATGCAATACCTTATGTCTTACCCTACCTGTTCAAACCATGCTCAGGGGTAAAGCGGAGTCTGAGGGGCTTGGCTTCAGCTCGTATGCTGCACCCCTTACCCAAGTACATGCCCCTAATTTTGGATTGTAGTCTGACACGGGTTCTACAAGCCCCGACAGGATGTCAGAGTGGAGGTCCTCTGAAGGAGGACCGACGGACCACTAGGTGAGCGTGGGAACATCGGGCGGAGGTTGTTCCGCCTGACAGGAGAGAGGCGGGAGACTACTGTGGTCAGAACCAACAGTAAAAGTGGGGTGGAAGGGACTGCTTTGGATGAAGTCCGAAGCAGAGTGGAACGGAGGGGATGGATGTGTGAGAGTGCAGGGATCAGTTCCGATGCGCGGGAAGTCAGATGCGCGGAGGAATGGAGGAGTGGAGGAGTGGAGGGACAGGGGAGACGGAGGGGCGGAGGAACAACGGAACAGCAGAACAGTGGAATAGCAGAATGGAGGAACGGAGGAGCGGGGGAGTGGAGGACAGCCAACCTAGGGAGTCAATCCCCTAGGCCGGAAAACAGGAGTTTTGACTTAGGTTAAGCCTTAGGTCAAAGAGCAGAAGAGCAGGGCTTAGAAAAGGTAATATTCAGACTGAGTATCTACAGACAAATGTACATATGTTTATATACTCTAAGTGATGAGCATAGCATAGCAGAAGGATATGTGCTGAGTGTACAGGATTACAAGAGGATGACTGAGACATACAAGAATAAGGCTTGGAGAACAGTATGTACGTGACAGATCAATAATTGCTAGGGTATAGGAATTACCGGTGATCCGAAAAGCGGAACTATGATACTAAACAGAGATAGGACCAGTTGAGTGGTTCCTAGTCTAGGAGTGGACCGGTGAGGCGGTTGGACGGACTAATAGTCGGGTGGGGGAATATGAGCGGAACTGAAGGAACTGAGTGGGTCGGAAAAGCGGAGGGAGTAGGGTCGGGATTGGGCGGACCGATAGGGCGGAGGAGTGGAACCCCAGAATAGGGTCGGATGGAAGGGGTATAGTGTCAGAGGACATAGGGGTAGTGTCAGAGGGGCGGAATGGGGTCAGGCGGAGGTAGCAGGGCTAATCCTGCTGAGATGCACTTTGTGTGTTTGTTGGAGAAGGAGGAATGAAGCGGACAGGGAAACAGGGGGTTGGAGGGGTGGGGATGTTCACAGGTGGTATTGAAGGTGCTTGGATCCGGTATATGACACTACCTCATAATGCATAATTGATATGCAAAGGTTATGCATTATGCAATATGCATTATGCATGCAATTACATGGGAATGCCATTGGGATCCTCAAAAGTCTATGCATTATGAGATTTATGCATTATTACCATATGCATTATGAGCATATCAACTGTATAATCTAGATCATTACGATAGACTTGAACTAATTGACTGGTTTTGAATTTTACTTCACCTGGTGCTCGTTGCAATACCCTCTTGTCGAATCTTGCTTTCCACTTGATAGCGTGTTGTACAACTTTGTCGTATCTGTCTAGTCTTTGTTGTTCGACATATGCTATTTGCACTAGCGCTTCTGAGGTATGCAATGTTGATGTGCTTTCCTCTAGCATCATTTGCAGTGTGTTGATGACAAGTCCTAGCAAAAGTTCCTTCGGAGAAAATTTCAGTGCAGGCAATAAACGGTAATTAAGGGCATGAACTGCATCATCGATGTGGTTTGACCATGACTTAGGAAGTTTGTCCCATGTGATCTCTTGTTGTTGATCCTCTCCTATCTCCAGCACACACAATCTCTTCAGTATGTGTAGCAACAATTTGTTTGTACCTTCTACTAACCCATTGACCCATGGGGAGTATGCTGCGACTGTATGCAGTTTGCATTTTCTTGATTTGCAGAATGCTCATACTGTGTCATTGTTAAAATGCTTGTCTCCGTCTGCCATGAACGTCTCTGATGAAGTAAACACACCTTTCAGTCTTATAGTACTGTATAACCTGTTGATATGACGTGTACATTGGCCTGCAAAACCAGGTGTACAGGACGCTGGTTGGCCTATGCACTACCTGTATAGGCCGGCCATGCAGAACCCTTGCAGGCCGATGCCCCAGACAGAAAATGATATCTCTGCACAACCTGTGTAGGCCGGTCATGTGGAACCCTTGTAGGCCGATGCCCCATACAGACAAGATATCTCTGTACTCCCTGTGTAGGCCAGTCATGCAGAACCCTTGCAGGCCGATGCCCCAGGCTGAAAATGATATCTCTGCACAACCTGTGTAGGCCGGTGTGGGTACAACAAGTGCAGCAGCGAGAAATCTAACTACTACACAGTTGGGTCTTTGCTACCTGCTGCCTCACTTGAGAACAAGCACGTTTGACCCTAAAGGGGATTGCTACTTGGGAATACTAGTCTGTCTAAAGCGACCCTATAGGATGAAAGATCCACAAAAGTGGATGAAGCAGATAGGATGTGAAATGTACGGATTTGTTGGATGGAGCAGATGGAACTTGCGGATGGGATGCAATGCAAATCAAAGTCAAAGGAAGTTCATTAAAGGTTGGATGGATAGTAGGTATAAGTCAAAGCGATCTTCTGGTAAGGTGAAGGAAAAGTGGGAGGAAGTTACATGAAGTAAGCATTTTCTGAAAACCTCTATGCTTATAGGGTACAGTATTTTCAAGGAACATAGAGATATAGGTAGCGAGTCTAGACTGTGCCATAAGCTATCCAGAAAATAGTGGAGTGTGAGAGGATATGTCTGTGTTCAGTCAGTAACAAGAAGATGCATGTGACTATGTACCAATGAGGTAGAATGGACGTGGACAGGACAGATGTGGCGGATGTGCGAGCTATAGGGGGAGATCTGAAGGTATCTGCTTTTTGGATGAAAAGCAGATGGGTATCAGATGGAATGGATAAATGTCGGATGGACGTCGGATGGACACCTGATGTATTGGAAAAGCAGTGGATACAAGCCTAGCGTAGGGATACTCCCTACACCGGTCTTGGGGAACTTTTGTAGCCCAATGCCCCAGACAGAAAATGATCTCTCTGCACAACCTGTGTAGGCCGGTCATGTGGAACCCTTGCAGGCCAAGGCCCCATATAGAAAAGATATCTTTTGCTGATGATGTAGGACCCCTGCAGGCTCATGCCTCATATAGAGAATGATATTTCTATACTACTTATATAGGTGAAACCAGCATATCAAAGTAGATCTGGCCAACCATGCACCCTGGATATTTATGCAGGCTGGCCTAAATGCCCTGATATAAAATGAGATTCCATACAGGAGTAGGTCTAGCCAACCTCACTCATCTAATAAAAGATATATCTCATATGGGATAATATAAATGGTGACTGAATAAAAAATACAGTCTACCCCTACACTCCTTACCAGGTGACTAGGCAGGCTGGCTTAATGGGCCAATATGTTATTGATAGGACAGCCAGCCATGGTCTACATACTGCACAGACCGGCTGGCCCAATGGGCCAATATGTTATCAGTAGACCGGCCCCACATGTCCTACATACTGCACAGACTGGCTTAATGGGCCAATATGTTATTGACAGGACAGCCTGCCATGGTCTACATACTGCACAGACTGACGGGCCCAATGGGCCACTATGTTATCATGAGGTGGCCACCCGTGTTCTACATACCACACAGACCGGCTGGCCCAATGGCCCAAAAAGTGTTCAGTAGGGTGGCCACCCCTGCTCTACATACAGCATAGGGCAGCTGGCCCAGTGGGCCAATATGTTATCAGTGGGTCAGCCATTCCACCTGTGCATACTGCATAGGTACATAGGCCTAGTACAAGCACCTTTGTAAATTATATTGACCATACAATACATAGAGTAAAGTATTGTCAGTGCTAACATCAATGTTTCTCAAAAATAGACATGAAAATTGAAGTGTATCATTCAGTAGGGCGGCCGCCCCTGCTCTACATACAGCATAGGGCAGCTGGCCCACTGGGCCAATATAATATCAGTAGGGCAGCCGACCATGGCCTACATGCTGTACATACTGGCTGGCCAATAGGCCAATAAGTTATCAGTGGGTCAGTCATTCCATCTATGCATACTGCTAAAGTATTGTCAGTGCTAACATCAATGTTACTCAAAAAGACATGAAAATTCAAGTGTATATGACAACAAACTGCAAGAAGGGAATTCTAAGGTATTGTGCTAATGATAATGTCTCAGTTCTTGAACTTCTTTGAAGGTACTCTGTCTCGGGCAGAGCGACGAGGAGGATCAGGAGGAGCAGATATCTTCACCTTTTTCATGACTGAATCATCCACATCTGTTGCTGGGCGTTTACCCTTCCCTTTTCCCCAGTGTTAGTACTGCTTGCCTTCTTTAATATGGCAGCCCTCTCCTCAGTCCTCTGAGATGCCTCAGCAACCCTCTTCTCCTCAGCAACTCTCTTCTCCTCAGCAACCCTCTTCTCCTCAGCAACCTGAGCCTCCTGAGCCACCCTCTTTTCCTGAGCCACCCTTGCCTGCTCTGCCACCCTTGCCTGCTCTGCCTCCCTCCTCTCTTTCACCTGCATTTTGTTCTCCAGACGCCTCATATGAACTTCTTCCCCCACTGTCATCTGCTTCTTATTACCATCTGGCAGCATTGCATCCACCCTCACCTGGATTCTGGTAATGGCCTCTTCAACCTTGTCCCCTACCTCGATGCCAAGGATGGAGTCGCCCAAATATTGAGGCACATCATCTCCAGCCTTATCTGCTTCATACTCCTGAGTGTGGCAACACTCACAAAGGAGGAGTCCAAGGCCCAGAACAACAATCATACCCCAACCACGAGATTTGATGATATAGTTGCCTAGTTCCTCCAAAGCCACAAAGGACCCCTGAATATCATTGTGCATATTTTGAGGTAGATATGCCTCAGACCACGACCAAGATGCCCAGACGGGCAGATGTTGCTTCCTAGCCTTGCCCTTAGGATCAGGAGTTTGCTTTCAAAAAAGAGTCAAATTTAATGCTGTATCACAAAAGTAGAGAATTATACATACTGTCATGGAGAGTTTTTGAACTGTGGCCAACAGACGATGGTATGATGGGAAGATAGAGAGGGATCGAAGATAACTGACTGTGTCACCACCCATATGGAATTTTGGGCAGGAATTGGAAAGAGATGGGGTGTGGCTTTCGAAGTCTTCCTCTTTGTCAGAAGAAACATTGGCTTGGGGGGCCTTCTTCAGTACCTCGTCCTCATCTGATGATACTTCGACATATTTTCAGTTCTTCCTCAAATTTTTACTTACATCCCCCTTCTTAGCCAGTGAATCATAGAAGTTGCCTTCCTTATACCCAACAAACTGTACAATTGGTTCATTATGGTTAGCACAATATTTCCAAAGTGAAAAAATCATACTGATGGCTTCCTTCTGCAGGTGAGAAGGATCCTTGATGACGATGTTCTGAGGGATACAGTCCATGTCAAGGTAATGGTCTGGATCTTGGGTAATATGACCCCAGGGGACTGCAGCCCTAGGGTTGTTTGAGATGACCACTGTTGAATGTAAGCTGTCAGAAAAATACAGTACTTCAAAAATAGAAATGAATCACCATAAGCCTTTTGAAATACCTTTCATACAACCTTCTGCTGGTTCTTGAGCATGAGAGATGAAAAGCCTGTTGGTAGGCAAGGATAGCCTTCATTGTCTACATCCACTGTTAAATCAGGCAACTTCTCATCTTCCTCGTCAGATTGGTCCTCGGGGTCTATGCCTGTTGCTAGATCATTAGCAATTAAATAAATTACAGTATCCAAGACTTACTGTACTTGGCTTCATTCAGCCAGTGTCATATACCTGATCCGACCCTGATCCGACTGCTCCGACTATATTGATATCCGCTCCATCCGATTCTGCATCCGATCCGCTTTCCAACCACCTCCGCTCCATCCGTCCTCCGCTCCGTCCGATCACCCCCCGACCTTCCGCCCTACACTTCCGCTCAACCACCCAACCGGTCATCTCCCGTAAACGTCTCCATTCAACTGGGACATCTTTCCCCTTATAGATATATACTTTCCCCATCCGTACATAGACCCTTACTTCCGGATCACCGGTAAATACCTTTACCGCTTGATCACCCATCCGACGTGTACATATTGATATCCACTCCGACTTGTATGTTTTTCTGCTTACTACTGTACAGTAAGACATAGCCTTGGGCTATGTCCTAGATATCACTGCCTCACACTTAGAGAGTATATATATAACATATCATGTACTTAGATTTTTCCCTTAGTCTTAATATTACTTGCATTCTCGCAGTCTCTACTCGTGAGGATTCTCCATAGGACCTTGCTACCTCTGGACACAAGTTTCGTCTCGTCGTCACTTCCGACACCCTCTGCTTAGACTTAGAGCCGCGCTCTAAGTCTTCCTTATTACTTCCCCACTCATATCAATAAACTCCTCTGCCCCTATCACCCTCTGTGTTACTTCTCCGCCTTCTCCACTCCACTCCTAGTCAGCCCGCTGCTAGTAGCGCTTACCTCCCGACCCTCAAAGCGGACCCTAGCGGTCCACCCGTCCTACCGTCGGACAACGTCGGACCCGCTCCAAATTCGGGGCACGTACTCAGCTAAGGGCGCAGCGCAAGAGCTGAAGCCAAGCCCCAACCCCTCCGCTTCCTGACAGCACGGTACCTAACAGCCAGTCAGCAAGTCAGTCTTGCAACTCTCCAGCCCATTTCTTGTTTTCTTTGGAAGCCAGAGTAAAAGTTTTCTTCACCTTCCTGGGACAGGATTCCCAGCTAAACCAATAGATTATTAATAGTGATGTCAATGGGAAAACATAATACTGACATAGTTGTTCCAGGCATTTTCCCCTCCCCTCGATCATGAGCTGTGAGAATCACAACATGTAAACCCATGGTTCTTCCTGCCATCTTTATGAAGTCCTCCATGATTTTCTTCTGGTGTCGGCTGCGGTATCTGTAGATACACATGAGTTTTTCCTAAATATAGCAATGTAGGATTAAAAAAATACCTGTCCTTGGCATCAGAATGAGCACCTTCCTGGTTCCACTTTTCTGCCACAAGTCTGAGCTCCTCACGCACATCTGGTGACAGGGCATTGTACCAGGACCGGACCAGCTTTGTCCTTGTCCCCATGGACCTTAGGTCAGAGGTGTCACGGTCCTTCTTGTCATACTCCCCAATTTCTTCTTTGAACAATTTCTGAGCGACATCAAAAGGCAAGAATTCGGTCTTGAATGCTGCAGCATCCAGAGGCTTATCATCCTGACGGTCTTTGACCATATCTACAGTGATGATGCCTGCACCAGATGTGAGTTTATCAGCTCCCTCAATGATTTTTTGCTCAAGATCGCGGTCCTCGTCATCCTCCAGAAAACGCAAGTAATATGTACGGATAGCCTATAAAATTAGATTAATATAGACAAAGAGACTGGAAGCTCACCTTCCAAATGTTATTGCCTGGAAGCATAGTTGAAGGATCCTTGGCCTGGTTGCTTTCAAGTATAGTATCTTTGATGTTTTTGAGGATTTTTGCCCTCTCAGCAGGGTTTCCTTTAGCTGAAACATAGGAAATCTCGTGCTCATCCAAAACAGCCTTGAATACATGTGTCCAGTCAGCCATTGTATGTAAAAATCTTGAGAATGCAGGCCAGTATAAGTTTGCAGAAAGTGTAACCAGTCTCAACTCACTTGATGACAGATCAACAAACCATGTCACATGATCAAAACATGGTCACATGATCAAAACATGGTCACGTGATCAAAACACGGTCACATGCTAATCAGGTGACTTCACACAAAAATCACCCAAGTCTAAGTACATCTGGCCAACACAAAAATTCAATGACATTAGTTTATACACAAACCTCAATATTCACATACACCAAACAAATCATTAATAAAACTCATAACAGTGATCACATTGAGCAAAAGTAAGACATGAGGTAAATATTGCTGAAAAACACATAAATCAAGCCAACTTTGCACCCACAGGAATATCCAACCAAGTACTACCATGCTTCCTACCAGAATACAGTATTGTCATATACCTGATCCAACCACTCCGATATCAATATCCGTTCCATCCAATTCCACATCCCATCCGCTTTCTGACCACCTCCGCTCCGCTCCGTCCGATCATCTCCCAACCATCTGCCCCTATGCTTCCGCTTGACCGCCTGACCGGCCACCTTCCATAACATCTCCATTCAACTGGAACCTCTTTCCCCTTTTAGGTATATACTTTCCCCATTGGTACATAGACCCTTACTTCCGGATCACCGGTAATTCCTATTACTGCTCAATCGTTCATCCGACGCATACATATTGATATCCGCCCCGACACTTATGTTTTCCGCTTACTACTGTACAGTCAGAACATAGCCTTTAGCTATGTACCAGTTATCACTGCCTCCTACTTAGAAGTATATATATATCATATCCTGTACTTAGATATTTCCTCAGTCTTAATATTACTTGCATTCTCGCAGTCTCTACTTGTGAGGATTCTCCGTAGGACCCTGCTATCTCTGGACACAAGTTTCACCTTGTTGTCACCTCCAACCCTCCGCTTCGACTTAGAGCCGCGCTCTAAGTCTTCTCTCTTACTTCTCCGCTCCTATCAATAATCCCCTCTGCCCCTATCCACCCTCCGCACTATCCTCCGCCTTCCCCACTCCGCTCCTAGTCGGCCCACCGCTAGCAGCAGTTACTTCCTGACCCTCAAAGCGGACCCTAGTGGTCCACCCATCCTATCATCAGACAACATCGGACCCACTCCAAATTCAGGGCACGTACTCAGCTAAGGGCGCAGCACAAGAGCTGAAGCCAAGCCCCGACCCCTCTGCTACTTGAGCAGCACGGTACCTAACATTCACGAACAATGCATTCCCTGATAAAATACCAGTGAGTAATTTTATATGATTGTGTGCCCTGCTGATAGGACAAAAAGGACCATTACCGTGAACTTATGCGAGTGTCACATATATGGCAGGATTTGGTTAATAGAAAAAGGTTTGGGTTTGGACATGACACCAAATGATCCCCTGGTCCAGGGGATTTAGCCCTTTATTGCCCAGCATGTCCGCAACCTAGAATCAACTTGCCAACGTCTTGGAGATATGACTATGAAGAGTAAGCTGACTCATAACTATTGCAGTAGTATGTCACTCATTATTGGTCTGTGGTAGGTGGTTAGTTATGCAAAGATATGTGGTTGATGGAAATTTCACAGCACAACATATGAAAATGAAAATTCCGGAAGACAATGTTTCTCTAGCAGATGGAAAGGGATACATGGTAACAGAGGGACCTTATCAAGCTCACATCCATGATTCTGTAGAAGAGAGAGAGGTAAGCGATGATTTTGGATGACCGGTTCCTCCTGACTTATAATATTTTTGAAGAAATCCACTTGCAGCAATCATCGGGCAGTGAATGAAGCAAACATCCAAAGAAGCAACCTAAGAGCTACAGGGGTTGGGGCAACAGCATGTGCTAGGCATGGATGCTTTGTTCCTCATGCAGTGGTAGACTTCCAAAAGGGAGAGCAGTCTGTGATTGTTTTGTTATTTCAGACAATGGACTGACCCTGTAGTCAGGCGCATGAACATGGACTATTCCATTTGCAATGCAGTGAAATATACACCCGAACATATTGGCAGTGCGCTCATCATCTATGATGTTGCATGTCAGTGGAGTATTCACTTTGCTGAACGGGTGGACCAGAGCTATCATCTGTCCCTTCCTGAGGGGACCAAAATATTACCTGCAATTGGCAAGTTTCATTTGAGCACACATAAGCTTCAATGCTTTCCTAGGTTCAGCCTGAATTTTATGACCAGAGCCGGACATATTGATGGGGAAATATTGGAGACGCTCTGGGCTCCTTTCAACAAGATTTCCCCCACTGCAAGATCCATGTCTTTGGCTCACTGAAAGGAAGTATTGGATGACCATATGCAGGATTCCAATTGGAAGAAGCTGGTTGGCATTGGCAAGTCCCCTTCATTCTGGTTTCTGTGACTTCACCTGACATAAAATTGGCAAAAGTCAAGTCATTACTTAAAAAGTATCGTCAAGCCCTACAGGGTGTTAGTGACACTCAGGGTCCATATGAGGAATTAACCAGATCACTTGATTTGGATGATGTTCAGGAGTGGAAAAAGGCAGCTGTAAAAGCAGCTCAGGACCGTGGAGAGCTTCTTGACATCTATCAGCTTAAAATGGACAAAGGTAGGTCTTGTGTTGTGGATGTTGATTTTGCCCTGATGGAAAATAATCTAAAGCACCCTCTATGGCTGAAATATGTCTCAGATTGACTGAAAATGAACTATCTGCTAATGGTAGGACTGGGTCTGTTGCATGGTTGATCAAGGGTATAAATATTGTCATATACCTGATCTGACTCTGATCCAACCGCTCCGACTATATTGATATCCGCTCCGTCCGACACTCATCCCTTCCGCCTTCTGCCCCATCCGTCCTCCGCTCCGACCTATCATCTTCCGACCATCTGCACTACGCTTCCGCTTGGCCGCCCAACCGGTCACCTCCCATAACACCTCCATTCAACTGGAACCTCTTTCCCCTTTTAGATATATACTTTCCCCATCCGTACATAGACCCTTACTCCAGATCACCGGTAAATACCTTTACCACTCAATCAACTCATCCGACGCGTACATATTGATATCTGCTCCGACGCATATGTTTTCTGCTGACTACTGTATAGTAAGTACATAGCCTTTGGCTATGTCTCAGTTATCACTGCCTCAGACTTAGATAGTATATATATAACATATCATGTACTTAGATATTTTCCCTCAGTCTTAATATTACTTGCATTCTCGCAGTCTCTACTTGTGAGGATTCTCCGTAGGACCCTGCTACCTCTGGACACAAGTTTCGTCTTGTTGTCACCTCCGACACCCTCTGCTTAGACTTAGAGCCGCGCTCTAAGTCTTCCTTATTACTTCTCCACTCGTATCAATAACTCCTCTGCCCCTATCACCCTCCGCATTACTTCCCCACCTCCTCCGCTCTGCTCCTAGTCGGCCCACCGCTAGTAGCACTTACCTCCCGACCCTCAAAGTGGACCCTAGCGGTCCACCCGTCCTATCGTTGGACAACATCGGACCCACTCCAAATTCGGGGCACATACTCAGCTAAGGGTGCAGCGCAAGAGCTGAAGCCAAGCCCCAACCCCTCCGCTACCTGAGAGCACGGTACCTAACAAATATAGAAAATGCTCAGTAAGATATTTTAACTTTGGGATTGGATTGACTTAAATTGTGTTACTAGAGATGCCTTGAGATTGTCTATAAGGCAGCTGCCCCAGGATTCAACTGCTTCTCAGAGAACCAGGATAGAAGAAAAAAGGCAAAAGCTCATGGCACGGATTATTAAGTTCCATGAGGCTGCAGAGGTCATGACTAATGGTATGGAATTGAAGGGAGGTGAAGGAGCACCACTGGACAACCCTGAACTGTGCCTGGAGGAGGCTGACATATTCAGTATGAAAGATCCAGAGGAAGATGACATTTTTGACTTTGAGGGTAATATTGACTCACCTGCAGAAGTCACCGAGATTTGGATGCCATCATGGGTAGCCTCTGGTCACATCATGGATGATGTTGTCTTGGCATTACGTCAAGAAGAACTCGAGCTTCGAAAGGGTCAAGCAAACAACTGCCTGGAAAAGCTTCGTCAAGCCCTGGGTGATAGATCAGTTGTGTTTCGGGAGAAAATACACTCCAACAAATCAGTCCATCACCAGGGCACTAGATCTAAAAAGGAACTTCAAAAGATAACTCTCTGCATCAACAGACAGACCTGAGGTTACAGCCGGGCAAGGGCTGCAATGCTCCGCCTAGGGGCTGACTCTGATACAGTGGCAGTGTATCAACCCCTAAAGCCTCAGGACCTAGTGGTGAGCAAAGAAGTGTCATATACCAGATCCAAGCACCTCCAATACCACCTGTGAACATCCCCACCCCTGGTCCGACCCCCTGTTTCCCTGTCCACTCCATTCCTCCTTCCCCAACAATGCATGAAGTGCATCTCAGCAGGATTAGCCCTGCTACCTCCACCCAACCCTGTTCTGCTCTTCTGACACTACCCCTATGTCCTCTGACCCCATACCCCTTCCATCCGACCCTATCTGGGGTTCCGCTCCTCCACCCTATCGGTCCGCCCAGTCCTACTCCTACTCCCTCCGCTTTTCTAACGAGCCCCTTCAGTGACAAACTCCATATTATACTAGGCAACTGACGTGCATAATATCCCATATAACACAGGCCAGCGGACCATGGGCCGATGATGAAGATATCCTTGATGTTAACAGATGGGCCGGTGTTAGGTACTGTGCTCTTAGGTAGCGGAGGGGTCGAGGCTTGGCTTCAGCTCTTGCGCTGCGCCCTTAGCCGAGTACGTGCCCCGAATTTGGAGCGGGTCCGACAGTAGGACGGGTGGACCGCTAGGGTCCGCTTTGAGGGTCGGGAGGTAAGTGCTACTAGCGGTGGGCCGACTAGGAGCGGAGCGGAGGAGGCAGAGAAGTAATGCGGAGGGTGATAGGGGCAGAGGAGTTGTTGATACGAGTGGAGAAGTAATAAGGAAGACTTAGAGCGCGGCTCTAAGTCTAAGTGGAGGGTGTCGGAGGTGACAACAAGACGAAACTTGTGTCCAGAGGTAGCAGGGTCCTACAGAGAATCCTCACAAGTAGAGACTGCGAGAATGCAAGTAATATTAAGACTAAGGGAAAAATCTAAGTACATGATATGTTATATATATACTATCTAAGTCTGAGGCAGTGATAACTGAGACATAGCCAAAGGCTATGTACTTACTATACAGTAGTCAGTGGAAAACATATGCGTCAGAGCGGATATCAATATGTACGCGTCGGATGAGTTGATTGAGCAGTAAAAGGTATTACCGGTGATCCGGAAGTAAGGGTCTATGTACCGATGGGGAAAGTATATATCTAAATGGGGAAAGAGGTTCCAGTTGAATGAAGACATTACGGGAGGTGACTGGTTGGGTGGTCAAGTGGAAGCATAGGGCAGATGGTCGGGGGATGATTGGACGGAGCGGAGGACGGATGGAGCGGAGGTGGTCGGAAAGCGGATGGGATGCGGAATCGGATGGAGTGGATATTAATATCGGATGGAGTGGATATTAATATCGGAGCGGATGGATCTGGTATATGACAGCCGGGAGGGATATTATTACCGATGAATACGGGTGGGCCCATCTAGGTAATATGTAGAGTAGGATGGACATGTATATTATAGACAGGTGGGCTGAAGAGAGATGTATATTATATAGACAGGTGGGCCGAAGGAGCAGTTTATTATATATCATATAGATGGGTGGGCCGATGTAGTGGTATTATTATCTAGACGGGTGGGCCGAGGTAGTAGTATATTGTGTAGACGGGTGGGCCAACATAGGGTATATTACATAGACGGGTGGGCCGACATAGGGAGTATATTATGTAGACGGGTGGGCTGAGGTAATTGTTATCATATAACTTAACGGGTGGGCCAAGAGAACAATTTATTAGATATTATATAGATGGGTGGGCCGAGGTAGTTGGATATCACCTATACGGGTGGACCCAGATACGTATCATATAGACGTATGGGCCAAGATGGTTGATATCATATACACGGGTGGGCCCAGAAGAATGAGTGTTATAAACATCAGTGGGCTGAGATAGTTGGATAACATACTAATCAGTGTGCTGATGTAGGCACCAGTACATACCCACTGTATGAGTGCATACACCTATCATCGACCACTGAAACTAGAAACACGAAACCCTGAATACAACATTTCATAAATTAGACGAATCACCAAGTACCTAGTACCAAGTACCGAGTTCCAGGTAACGTCTATCGAGTTCCGGGTAACATCCATTGAGTTCTGGGTAATGTCTATCAATGTCCGGGTAACATCTATTGATGTCCAGGCACCAAGTTCTGAGTTCCGGGCACCAAGTACCAAGAAGCCCGGAACTCGGTACTTGGTGCCCGGAACTTGGAACTTGGTGATTTGTGCAATTTACGAAATGTTTTTAGTTTCGTGTTGGTGCTCAAGGCCCGGCACTCGGTGCCCGGAACTCGGAACTTGGTACTTGATGCCCGGAACTTGGTGCCCAGAACTCGGTACTTGGTGCCTGGAACTTGATATTAGTTACCTGGATGTCGATATTAGTTACCCGGACGTCAATAGATGTCACCCAGAACTCGGTATTAGTGACCCGGAACTCAATATTAGTTACCTGGACGTCATAGATGTTGCCCGGAACTCAATATTTTCATTCCTTGGGTATGCCGGAGGTACAATGCATTTCAACAACATTTACAGAAATATAACTACCAAATTATGTAGACATTTCAACATCGCCCAGATGACCCTCATCACCACCTTCAACTTCAACCTTGACCTCAACATCCATGTCATCAGGAGAATCATATTCCAGGAAAAGGTTGCGAGGATCATCCGGTACCACAATGTCTCCGGCAGTTGGGGGAGTAGGTGATGGGTCCGGGGCTAGTTGAACTTGGCTCGGCTCAAATAAGAGACCCTCGATGGCAGATGGATCCTCAATTTTTGTGGGTGTGGGCTCCATCACTGCCATCGAAAGATCAATGAGAGGAGGGAGTGCGGATTCGGAGGGTAATGTTGTTCCAGCGACGGATTGATCAAGCAACAAAGACGGTGCAATTGCCAGAGTGGTGGGAAGGGGAAATGAGGGATGGTGTTCCATGGTTTTGCATTGAAGGCTCTCATGGAGCTGGGTGAGGGTATCGATAAGTCTACCCTGCTCAGCAACACATTCCTCGAGAGCCTTGATGCGTCCGGCACTATCGCGAATAGTCATTGCCATGGAATGGAGGTCCAGCATGGGGACATCAAGAGCCACACAAGGCATGTGGGCACTCGAAGACGCAATTGCTACAAAAGAATAAGATAAGGTGGTGATGATAAATTCGAAAGACTTACGAGCTGGTGCAGGTGAGGGTGTAGGTGGTGGGGCGGGTGCCTTGACAGCAGTTATTGTCTTGCTGCGACTGCGCGTCATAGGCGCGGTCACAGCAGATGTACTGGCAGTTCCAGCAGCACCTGCACTGGTAGTTCCGGCTGCCCCACGAGATTGGCTGCAGGTCCAGGCCATTGGTTGGGAGGTGGACGGACCTTTGGAAGGTGTCCAGGACCTGGACTTCCAGGTGGTTGACTTATCCCGCAACCGTTTCGGTGGACTTCCGAGGGTGACGGAAAAACACTTCAACTTCTTTGTGTTGCAGTAAACACAGGAGAGAAGGCCGTTCCTATTCCTCTTGTCGAAACGGGTCGTGCAGGGCCACTCCGTGTTGCTGCAAGCCCAGCATGGGTTGTTCTGTTTGTTCTGTTAGTTCAAGGACGCCCAATGAATTTTCAAAGTACTCACGGGTCCAGGAATGAGAATGTCATCTGTATTGATGACAGTTGGCGCCACCACCGGGGTGACCACGGGGGTGTTGGACATCGAGTCCGTGTGCTCAATGACCTCTGGACGTCTTCCGGCAATTACCTGATGAAGGTATGGATGTCAGGGAGTGATGCGGGCATAAATTAGACATACCTTCGCAGGGCCAAAAGGGGCCTTCTTGGGGACCCGAGGCGAGACTGAGGTAACACGATCAAGGAGGATGACCGGCCCTCCTTGGGCAGCTGGCTGCAAAATAATGAGTGAGAACGAAAAAAATAAAAGGAATGACATACCTTGTCTTCATCTTCATCCTTGGACTCCACAAACTCGGACGACTTCACAATGCGAGCTGACTTAGCCCTCTTGCAACTCTTCATCGCAGATTTCGGCGGTTGGGAGGAGACTCCCGAAATCAGGGGCGATTTCCTCTTCCTCCTCCTGTCCGCCTCAGGTTCCAGGTCAGCATCTAACGCCTTACCCTTACCCTTATCCTGACGCTTCTCCTGGGACTCGGCGATAGTGCCGGAGGATGGGCCGGCAATGCTGCCGGTGACGACAGGTGGGGAGGGAAGGTCAATGGCAACAGTGTCAAGGGATTTGGGGGCCTTGAGGGGAAGATCGAACGTCCGGTCGCCTAAAGCCTCCCAGGCGAAGACCTTCTCGCGCCAGCTGTGCCTCTGGAGGCGAGGATTGTCATGGCTGATGCTGTGCCAGTCAGGCCAAACCTGGGGGGACATCTGCCTAATGTGAAGTAACTCCTTGGAGCAGGACAAGACTATGCCTGGAATGCAAGGTGCATCTGCATGGTCCCGGACGGCCTTAGCCTGCCCAGACATTAGAGAAAACACAGAAAAAAAGGAAAAACCACATACCACCAGTTCAGTGACTTGTGCTCTCAGAGCCAAGTGGCTGTTGCCAGGTGGGAGCAGCTGAGCCGCCCAGACAATGTCAACAATCTGCCTAGTGATTGCCTTAAGTTCGGCAAAAGAGGTTTCAGCTGGAGTGGACATGTTGAATGATGAGAAAGATGTGTAGATCTTTGAATCAGATGTGAAAATGATGAAGTTTTCAGAGAGAAAACAGGCAGTTGAACGGCCATGTAAAACTTCGTTGATTTGTTTGGCTTTGTTTGGCAATGGTTCAACTTTCGGAAGTTGCCGGACTTCAGTTGAACTTCAAGTACACGATCAATTATTGGTACATCCGTCCCTCAATCAACATGAATCCACATCCAACAGTCAGATTTAACGATCCTCCAGTGACCAAGTATTATTCAACGGATGTAGATGATTCAACACAGTCCCGGACATCAGCAGGTAAGATCTACTTGTACTATTCCTTACCTATGTATTTATCTTACATGCCTTAGATGATTTATACCTTGGGCCGGATGATGACATAGAAGATGATTCCATGTCGTCCAGTGGTCCAGATGTGTTGGCCACAAGTTCCGGTACATTTATCATTTAAATATCACCGTGCATGTTCACTAAACTCTTACAGATCAATCACCTCCAGCTCAATCTGATCAACCAGTTCAGTACATCAACCCGGACTTGTACCTTGGGCCTGATGAGGATCTGATTGATTGTGATGATGAGCCGGGGTCTGTCTATGCACATTGTGAGTCTCCGGTCCCATCTGAAGTTTCCATGTCATGTAAGTAAATTCAACGCATTTTTCGATCGACACTTAATTTATCTCACAAGCAGATGAGAGACCCGCTGAATGCAATCCAGCACATCCAGAGCTCACCAATGAAGATTTGTATGCAATGGTTCGTGAGTTCCGGCCAATAGGGTCATTCAAGCACTCCGGATGTGAGTATCTGGTATACCACTATATCTATCATTTTTCTTATGTTCATTTAAGTGCAATCCCTTCAAGATAGACTCAGCAGCTACAAACATGATAATGGAGGTCTTCCGGTGCATTCCATACCACTACTCATTGAGGCCGAGCGACCGTTTCAAATGGGTTGGGCGGATACATCTGACAAGCTCCGGAGGGCTGATGCTGAGCTACAGAGGCTGAGAAGAGCTGAACAGGCAAGCATCGAAATGCTCAAGGTGGTAGATTCCATGATTCGTCAGTGTGAAGAACAAAATCAAAACTAAACTTCTGAATTTTCGATACCATCACATGTAAAGTACCAACTCATTAAACTACCAAATCTTCGATAACATAGTCACATCACATGTAAATTACTGGAACACCAAGGTGTTACATTACTGCCATGTAGAATAAGTAATCTATCAAGAGTTCCAGGTATCAACTTCTGGGCATCGAGGTCCGGGCACTGAGCGGTTTACCCGGAACTCGGCATTCGGTGTTTGGTACTCAATGCCCGGAACTTGATACCCGAACAGAATGTGGTATGTTAATCCGAATAAGCAGATGTTGCAGACCCCCCCATATGTTGCCCTGCCAATCGTCGATCGCCCAGAACTCAGTGTTCGTTACTTGATGCCCAGAGCTTGATACCCAAACAGAACGTGGTATGTTAATCTGAATAAGCAGATGTTGCAGACCCCCCCCAGATGTTGCCCTGCCAATCGTCGATCGCCTCCGTATTTGGTGTTCAGTACTCGATGCCCAGACCTTGATACTCGAACAGAACATGGTATGTTAATCCGAATAAGCAGATGTTGCAGACCCCCCAAGATGTTGCCCCGCTGATCATCGATCGCCCGGAACTCGGTGTGTGTTACTCAATGCCTGGAGCTTGATACCCCAACAGAATGTGGTATGTTAATCTGAATAAGCAGATGTTGCAGACCCCCCCCCAGATGTTGCCCCGCCGATCGTCAATCGCCTCTGTATTTGGTGTTCGGTACTTGATGCCCGGACCTTGATACCCGAACAGAATGTGGTATGTTAATCCGAATAAGCAGATGTTGCAGACCCCCCCAGATGTTGCCCCACCGATCATCGATCGCCCAGAACTCGGTATTTGTTACATCACATGTAAATTGAATACCGATTGAATAACATTGATAGGGACATACGACACAATGGTACAAGTACGTTACTTTTTGCCCCTTGCTCTAGTAACTCTGTCAGATGATTATTGCACTGACTTACTCCGAGTTGTTCTTGCCGGTGCCTCAATCACATCTTTCTTCCCCTGGACACTCTTCGGGGCCAGCAGTGGAACTGCATTTTCAACATCACCGGTGTCTCCGGCATTTAAGCCAGCCAGGAGGTCGCCCATTCGTGATGTCAGGAGGGTGCCAGATTTTGCAGGCTTGACAGGGTGATGCTTGGAAATTGAACATGGGACTGCGGTTCCTTCATGTGCTGATGCGGGACCCGCAGCTCTTCTGGATCTCTTTTGCAGGGATCTACTGTCAGCCAAATCAACATCAGCTTCGTCGTCCGGATGAGCATTGCCCTCAGCATCACTCTCGGATTCGGTTGATAAATCCTGAGGTCTCCGGATCATCACCCTCTTACACTTCTGATAAGGAGGTGATTTCTTGGATACAATGGAATCTACCATGTTGCCTTCTTTCTTCCTCCATGCTTTGAACAGGAACGTCGGACCTTCACCCATCTCCTGCCGAGCATACCAGAAATTGAGCAAGGCGGTGGTATCCCAATTTTGCAACTTGGAAGGCTCCTTCAAGTCTACATCCGCCGGAAGATACTTTCTGGCCACAAAGTCATCCTGACTTTGTACGATGGCACTCCACGGCACGACAGCCTTGTCAATCCCAGAACAGATACCTGTACCCTCCATTAAACAGATTCTATTAGGAAGTTGCGAAGCCAGACTCATGATAGTGCTTTGTAAGAAAAGCCCTCACAATGGCCTTCTTGACAAAACTTTGAGTTAAGCGGATGCGATCCGTCAGTACCCTAAGCGACATGGATCGGGTCCGCGGATACACCTAAGTAAAGCGGATAGGATCCGCACTCAGCCGCTGCCAAAGGAGGCGATAGAAATGACTGTATTCACCTAAGTAAAGCGGATAGGATCCGCACTACTCTAGATTAGTTATACTGTGATATAAATGAATGTAAGTGGAGACATACCTCAGCTGCTGCCAAAGGAGGCGATAGAAACAACTGAGGGAAAGTATGTACCAAAGCACCTCTAATATATGGGCGAAAACCCGCTTGCTAACTGACCATGCGTATCGCCTATGAGTCCATGACTTGTATTGAACGCACTCACTATTACATGTACACCCGAAACATTCCGAAACAATCCGGTACACCTTAGTACATATCCGAGCGCATGCACTTGCATCCGGACACGCATGCGAGTGATGGATCACCCATACGTGCATGGACGAGCATCGGATGGGAGGCGGATACCCGCGGATGGGTTTAGGATGAGTCGGATGGATGTGGGATATCATCTGGTTTTGTCACTCCCACTCAAGCGGAGTCGTAGTCCCATGGCTTTGGTAAACTTCCAGTGCTTGTCATGCGTAAGCGGTTTGGTCAGAATGTCCGCTACCATATCATCCGTGGATACGTATCGGATGACGGCTTCCCCGGTTGTGACCAGGTCGTCACGGACGAAATGGTACTTGCGCTGGATGTGTTTTGTACGTGCGTGGAACCGCGCTTCTTTCATGAGGATGATTGCAGCTTGATTGTCGCAATGGAGAAGGGTCGGATGACATTGCTTGTATCCGATCTCCTCAAAAAACATGCGGAGCACATGCTAAGTG